TTTTTTTTTTTTTCTCCTTCTCTTTCCTTTTCTCCTTCCCCTCCCTACTGGGTTCGAAGGAACCCAGGCGCGAGTTCCTCGAACCCAGCACGCCTGGGTTCCTCGAACCCAGGCGTGCGTGCTCTGTACTCTCTTATCTCTCTCTCCCCCTTTGATCGATGTAAGTATAAAATCCTCATCTTTGGTTTTCTGTTTGTTTGCCAAGAAAGTAGGTTGGAAAATCAAAGAAATTGTTGAATCGGGTATTTTAGTGTTTGAAATTTCATATTTGATAGTGATAGTATAGTCATCTAACTCCTTGTCTGCTTAAGTCTTATGTCTGTAGTCAAGACATCTGCTTGTTTTGCTGTTTCTGTAGATCTGTTGTTAAACAATGAGAGAGATCCTTCACATTCAGGGTGGACAATATGGGAACCAGATCGGTGCTAAGTTCTGGGAAGTGGTCTGTGATGAGCACGGTATTGATCTGACAGGACGATACAATGGAAACTCTGATCTGCAGCTGGAGCGTGTGAATGTCTATTACAATGAGGCTTCGTGTGGGCGATTTGTTCCGCGTGCTGTGCTCATGGATCTGGAACCAGGTACTATGGACAGTGTCAGGACTGGTCCCTATGGTCAGATCTTCAGGCCTGATAACTTTGTGTTTGGTCAATCTGGCGCTGGTAACAACTGGGCTAAGGGCCATTACACTGAGGGAGTTGAGCTCATTGATGTTGTTCTTGATGTTGTGAGAAAGGAGGTAGAGAACTGTGATTTGTCCCAAGTGCTGGTGCTGGGTTCCTTTGAACCCAGTATGGAGGGGAAGGAGAAAAGGAAAGAGAAGGAGTAAAAAAAAATTTTATTTATTAAATTATATTTTTGGTGCCAAGTCACAATATTTTGAAGTTCGAGGTAAATTTAGTTGAAAAATGAAAGTTAAGGGACTGAATCGAGGATTTAACTTTTTTTTTTTTTAACTTTAGTCAGCAGTGGGGCCCACAAAAAAATTGGCAGCAAGTAGACGTCCCGCTCGTGGGGTTCCAAGTTGGCATGCCAGGTTGTCAAAAAATTCTGAGTTGGCACTGACATGCGCATACTTGACGGAGGCCAACGGTGCACGTGCTACACGTGACGTTCCGACGTTAAATTTTGCCTCATTTCCTCAACTCGAAAACGTTGAGGGTAAAAATCCATGTATTGTAATATGGAGGGTAAAAACCCTAAAAGTCGAAAAGTTAAGGGGCAAATGGGTACCTTTTGCCTGCATGTTATGCGTGATGATTTTCTTGGAGATTAGAATGATCAAACAAAATCTATATTTTTGACTAAAATTTTGGGTGTTCTCTATGACAGGGTACTTGAGTGCTATTGATGTGTGTTCATGTGCATTAATTGCATTGCATTGTTTAAGTAAGAAACAAATTTTCATTCTTAAGGGTGGAATCCTTGAACCAAGTGTAAACATAAAGAAATTAATGTGAATTGGTTTAAAATACAATTATTCAAGTGAATTAATAAATGGAATTTTATTCCTATATTATTTTGAATGTGTTTTGAATATGTTCAACATGTATATATATGCATTTGTGACTATTGAGTAAGTAGATCTAAACCTAAAATTTAGGGTATTCAATGGACCCTCTGAGGTAATTAGTGAACCTTTATAGAGTAGGGTAATTGTCGTAACTAACTTTGGTACAAGTGTTGCTAGCACATATCAGTAGACTTTATAACATTATGTGATTTTTATTATATGCATTCTGATTGTGATATTCCATTTGCAAGCATGGCTTTATAATATGAATTTAAATTAATTGTCATTAGCTTTTTTTTTTTTTGACATATTTGATTGTTATGAATTATTTGTAACATGATAAGTTGTTATTTAAATAATAACCTTTATAATATTATATGGCTTGGCTTAATGATATGTTATGCCTTGTGATTGTTTAAGTGAATGATTGTAGGACCCAAGTTTATAGTTTTGACTTAATATTTATTGAATTTTTAGCTCATGTTATTTTCCATCCATTTTAGATCGGTAGCTTGAAGTTGCAGTTGCCAAGGCTTGAGAGTGTTTTTGGTATAGGTCACTTATACTCATTGTACATAAAGGCTAGAACCATATTACTTTTGAGGTTAAGGCAAATTAATTTCTTACTAAAATGATGGTTTTGTTTATATTGTTTTGGAAAGCTTTTTGAAAGGCACCTACTTATGTCTTTTTTTTTTCTTTTTTTTGTAAAGTGCTTGTTATGTACATAATAATCTATAAATGAATGAAAAGGGGCTCAATTTTAGTTATTTCATAACTTTGAGTACTTAAATATTTTTTTCTTAATGTACTTTTTGCTAAATTAGTTTTTATTCATAGGTTGTTGATTTTCTTTCTATATAGTTTTAAAATAACATGCAAGCAAATTCCTTTTCAAGGAAACATTTTATATTTTAGAAATATTTTTATTTTTCTAAAATTTTTAATTAAGAACTCCCGAACTAAGAGTACCTAAGGAAGGTGCGTTGCACATTTGACTAACCTTGATACTCAATCATGAAATGAAAAAACACATCCAATTACCTTGCATTTGATCCATTCAAATGTTTTAACCTACACAGCATCCAGCAGCTTCTCCCCAAAGTTCCCCTCATTCTTAAAAACCTTGGCATTCCTCCAATACCACATAAGCCACGCCACTACTAAGAACAAACAAGACCCTACCTGTTTCCCTACATCCCTCCCTAAACCATACATGAAAAAACTGTTGTTCCTCGTAAAATAAATAGAAGGAAAAATAGACATAAGATTTGCAAAAAAAAAAAACAATTAATTAAAGATGAAAATGAAAAGTAGAAAAATGTCACCGAAAGTATGAGGAGATTGAGTTGAGGCACGGATCAATCACTCTCTTTAGGACGTTTCGTGCCATTAGTGCAGCAAATTTTTATGGTCTCGTTGCCCATAGGATACAACAGCCCAACCTCCTTGTTGTATCTTTACAAGTACTGCACTCTTGTAAAGAAAGTTCTACCCC